AAAAAAAAAATGGTCAGGGCCCCGCGGATGTTCGGAGTCTTACCGAGCCTCAGGTATGCACGTGCGCACGGGCGTTCCCTGTGAGTGCCCATGTGCATCTGGGTGTTTTTCTGAGTTATGGACTTGAGGACTAAGGGCGCAGATGTGCGAAGCTTCTAGAGGACGCTCTGGGAAGCCATATTAGGTCGGCTGCTCCTAGCTCTAAATAAAAGCTTATTATTTCTTCACCCACGTCTGTAAGGACCTTTTCCTATTACCTAGCTGGTAGACGTGCACGTGAAGGGTTTGTGACCTAGTCTGGACAACGGGCTCAAGGGGTCTGTGAAACCTAGCCCTACCTTTACACTTGGAAAAGAAAAGAGGAAAATTGAAATGACTCTCATGAAAGTCAGGAACAAGAATAGAATGCATTACCGTCGCTATCATTTAATATTATTCTGGAGATACAGAAGTCAAATTTAATGAAAAGAAGGTAACATAAAAATCAGAAGAGAGATTTAAATCACAATTATTTTTAAATGATACACGAGGGTATTTCAAAAAGTTCATGGAAAGATTCATATTATCTTTTAATGCTATTTTTCACTAACTTTTTGATGTACCCTAATGTGTATGAAAAACCCCACAGCTTCAACTGAAAATTACTACAAACAAGAAAAGAATTTAGTAATGAGACTATGGATATAGTTAATATGAATCAATCTCAAAAACCATTTTGTAAATAATAGAAGTTATATGCAAATGGCTGTCTATAGTGTAGTTCTATTCATATAAGAGACTGAAAAAGGTAAAACTATAGCGACAGAAATCACATCAGTAGTTGCCTGCGGTTGGAGGTCGGGGGATACAAAACAAGGTAATTCTAAATTTCATAAAGGAAAACATTAAGAATCGCTGAATTTTTTTCTGAAAAACAAGAGTAATGGGAGAAGGGCAGCCCCTACTGAGTATTAAAACAATATGGTAATAGTGCATAAATGGACAGATCAACAGAAGAGACGAAAACATCAATGTGTTTGACCAAAATACTCATGCATTTGGTAGAGAGGGGATTAATGGTTAAGAGGGTGAACTGTGCAGCAAGATCACCTTGCTCCAGAAGTTTTAAATCCAATTTTCTAATTTTGGCTTTGCCACTTACTAGCTGCACGATTTGGGGCAAGTTACTTCACTCATTATCCCACAAGTTCTTTTGCGGACAAATTTTTTTGTTAATAAGGATACCTACTTATTAATGAAGACATATGTATATGAATATGGTGCTTCTAACAATGCCTGGCTGGCACTCTTGGTGGTGATGGCTGTTATTATTATTATATATTATAATGTAACAATTATACATTTATATTTGTAAAGTATTATGCTATAAAAGTGACATCTAAACAGGACAAATATCATTTAATTACAAGTTTAGGAACAGCTAGATTGAGACATCTGAAAAAAGTAATAGATTGAACGATCCC